TTGATTCAAAAATAAAAAACTTCCATAAGAAATACTTGAAATTCAGTTTAGGAGCATGTTCGTGACATATATATTCCGTCCTCTCTCATCTCAAATAAATAAGACAAAACAAATATGGAATGACAGAAGAGGTAGATGGAGATTGGATTTAATTTTAGAAAATAAATTTCTTTAGTCTAAGTACGATTAAAATTCTTTTTACAGCAGCAAGCATGCTCACAATTATGAGTTCGATATATAAGCATTCAAATATTCAACCGTGACAAATTTGGCTATCCAGTTACAATAGATGGGTAGAAACGGCTGTTTCTGAGTCATTAATTCACGTTTAACTGAAGCGAAAAATAAATAACATCCAGCTTAGTTAATGTATATACGAAAATATCTCTTGATAAAGCTTATTTAGAATGCTTATTGCCATAATACAAGTCAAGTGAAACTAAATCTCACCTTGTCCCCTGAAATCAAGGGTATAATAATTTCAAAAGATTCCAGAAAACGTTTCAGTGAGTAGGGAGCTTTTGGAAGTAGCTTTTCTTTAAATTCAGGCAACGTATTAGGTACATTTACTGTTTTACGATGTTGTGAAATTTTAAGGAGAGTTTCTGGTCTAACAGCACCGTCTAAATGAAGGTGCAAGTCGATTCCATATGCATGTTCAGGAAGTAACATTTTAATGGTACCAAAACTCAGTTGTAATTGTGCTGACAACTGAAACACTTACTACTGATGCACTCAAACAAAAATCTAATAATGTCGTTATTTCGAAAATGTGGCCTTGACGCTTGTGTCAGTGAACGTCGATTATTTTTTATTTAGTGGCTGAAATTTGCGTCATGAGTTACGAGGTTTATTTTGGCTTTACTTCCGCGAATTTTGAAAACGGATTTAAGTTTTGCACTATATTCTTATATTCCAGTGTTTTTGTGTCATTCACTACGAGAACCTACTTGTGATTTGAAGTCCAGTCATCCTTGGTAGAGGTGGAATTTTAATATGCCTTTGAACGGTAGTCTAAGTTTTTGCATTTTGGCTATCCTGTTTGTTACTTTATCGCTATCACCTGTCAGTCATTAACAACTGTTTATTCTCTCCTCTCGTATGTAAATGTCAAGAGAATCACTGCTGCAGGCCAGAGTATGGCTTTCATTATGACAGTAGTAAACAATGAGTTTATCTGACTTCCGTGACATACAGGCGTTCTTGCGAACACCCTACACACCCAGTTGTGCATATACTGCTGCAATACGAATCAGTTCATCAAGCACGAGGTGATACAGATGCCCAAAGAAACACGGCAGTTTTTGGTATTAGTTTTGGTATAACAAGAATACTGATTACTCTGGCAATGTCAGTGTGTCATTTGCTAGTCCCTAAAACTCTACGAGTACGATGCAGGACCTTCTACCTGGATTAACTGTATGCTATACAGTACGTTAAAGAAATTTAATCGGAGAGGGTAGTCTGGATATCGGCGGTACGTCCAACGTTTGCGTTACAGTTTTGCGTGATTCGTTACATAAAATTTATCTTGTTGTAATACTTGCACAAGTACTCTACTACCTCTATACCTATAACTATTAACTCTCATATCAAATAGTTATGGTTAACCAAAGTAAAAAGCAACGAACTCAATCCCCTGTAAAACTGATGACTAATCTTAAGTCGCTGATTGCTACATCAAGCAACACACTCCCTACAAATGGCTATACTGAGCCACATAACCCACTTGTATGTCGTAAGCGTCGAGCTGAAACTGAGGATAAAACTGCACTGACAGCTAGTATTAGCACTACTCCCAAAAATTCAGTACCCTCTGCTCATACAGAAACCCTCCCATCACCTTACGTACTTATCGAAAAGCTCCAGCCTTCAAGCTCTGTTTCAGAACTATCTTCTGAAATAGAACTTCTAAAGTTGTCTATAGGAGAACTTAAGGCCGAGTTAAGGGAAATAAAAAAGAAGTCAGTAAATCCACGAATTTCTGATACCAATACCAAAATATCCAAATTATCAGATCAGATCAGCGATATCAGATCGCAGGTCTGTGAACTGACACCTTTAACTATGCTCATGAGAACTGTAGACCTTAACAAACTTGACACGGAATGGGTATCTAAGGTGGATAACCTCATTAACTTTGTTACTACAGAAGTAACAAAACGACTCGACGCTAAACTAAATGCTATTGTCTACAACGTTCCGGACAATGAGGCACTAAAAAAGGTACAGCGCATCTTACTTAGTGAGGCGAAAATGGCCAACTCCAAGACTAAGTGCTACAGGCTGAAGAAGAGTCAACATGACAAGTGTTGTCCTATTCGTTTTCAGTTCGAAACACCGGCGGAGGCCAGAAAATTTACCCACTCCCAACACACCCTATCGCAAGCCAGAAATTACAAACTAATAAAGGTTGCGGTGGACAAGACCGTCATAGAAAGGCGCGTATATAATTATCACACTGAGTCTAATTGTGGAATAAACAATAGGACATTGCAAGCAGCAATTATACCCAACCCTTTGAGAGACACCTTAGAATCCACCGCACCACCCCTCTCTAACCACACAGAATTTTCTTCTCAGAGAGCGACACCAAACGAAAGGCCGCTAAATTGTAATCAAATAGCCAATAAAACTATACCACCTACCACCGTAGATTTAGACATGTCACTAAATAATCCAAGAAAAAAAGTCAAAATCCCCCGAAAGTTGACCCTGTCCTCTCCTAGCCATAAGTCCATTGGTACAAAGGAGAAGAATATGACCCCAAATCATGCCAACAACAACAATGGCAGTATAAGCAAGCCCACATTCCCCACGGTCAATAGTATTGGCACCCACAACGTGCGAAATAGCACCATGGCCCACACTGATAACCAACGCCAAAACAATGCCACCCTCAATAGTACAAGTGACAATAGTCAGAACTCGACCACCAACAACTCAGGGCATTCACAGTATGGCACGCAAATAAATTTTGATCGGATATACGGTACAAGTCTGCTGGGAACTAACCCACAAAGCAGTACATTCGAAACCCTTACAAGGACACCACTAGTACCTAACAATAGGTGGAATAATAGACCATGGTCTTCACAAGGTCCCAATCATTTTTTATCCCCTGCGTCCCTGTCAGCGTTGAAAAAACAGCTGGTAGGGATACTAACACTCCTAAACCGCTAGTGCTGGCTCCTCACTTGCATGAATACAGGAACAGTCTAGTTCACCCGCATCCATTAAGCACACTTGATACATGCAAAAGTTTAGGTCAAATAAAGATCCCTACCCCCGTTTCTAGCTTAACTAAAAATAAAAATGCCTTGGCCTATAGCACATCCAGTACCCCAACGCTCAATTCTTCACCGAAAACGGCACACACCAACTCGATAGACATAGATGAGCATGATATTGAAACTCCTCTTAACATAGGGTCGTCATGTCAAACAGTACTACTGGGTGCTGAACCACATTCGGGGCTGATTAACGAACTTAAGTACTTCAAATGCTATTTCAAATCTCATCTTTACCTAATCCTCATAAATGCTAGATCCGTTCTAAATAAACTACCGATGCTCAGAGCACTCACAGTAATATACAAACCCCCTATAATTGTCATCACTGAATCCTGGTGTAATTCGAACATACTGGATGAAGAGATAAGCTTAGATAACTATGCACACTTTCGGTGTGACAGGGAAGGTGGTAAGGGAGGGGGTTGCCTCATGTACTTTCTGAATACACTTACTATATCACAGCTAGAAAATAGTACACTTAACATGCCTGAGACTTTATGGGTTAACTTACACTTAAATAACGCAATAGTATTAATTGGATGCACCTACAGAGCACCTGGCACCTTTAGTAATTACGAGACCCAACTTATTAATACTCTAGAACAATTATCCACCCTACACTACGATCATAAGATCCTATGTGGAGACTTTAACTTACCAGAAATCAACTGGGAAATACCCACAGGTCCAACTAAACTTGATAAGTTCTTAGGCACACTGGATATACTTGGCTGGAAGCAGACTGTCACAACCCCTACAAGAGGTAATAACGTACTAGACTTAATCTTCTGCCACAATATAAGTCCCCTTTCTACCCTAGTAGGTTCTGAGTTTTCAGGGAGTGACCACAAAACAGTGCTGTGTGCACTGCCACTTCCGTCAAGTAGCAATGCAGCCCATACCCCTACTTCACAACAAATAACTTACAGGAACTACAGTAAGGCAGACTGGACTCTAGTAAAATCAATGCTAAGATCCTCAGAATAAATAAATTTATTCTCATAGTACAGTACATGAGGAACGCCAGTTTACAGGCATCATCAGATTGTTACAGAAATAGAACCATATAATTCAATCACAATTTACAGGCAGTAGCAAGATATGCTTTACATGTTCGCTGGAGATTATACATACACTTGATAAATGTTAATCCCAGTAGTATAAACAGCCTTTTTACTTATATACAATCATTTCTGTGCAAAGTTGTAAAAATCTGCCAGATTGTCAGTGAGTGCAACACAACAGGAAATACAGGAGTATTGTCTTCGCATTAACAAAAAACCAGGTCTTTGGTGGATGGGTTATAAGTGCCTGGGAAAAAATAAAGCTTGAAGTAAATATTCGTACATAAATTCGTTGTGTGCAGAGTCCTCGAATTATAGTTCATTGATGTGTTATTTTGAAATCAGTGATGTGTTTATCTCATTTGATCTTCAATGTCATTGTTGGGAGTAAGTACATAAGCTTCGGACGCATTAATTAATGGATTTCTACTGCTTGTGGGTATTTTCTTAGTGTGAGGAAGGTTTATGAGTTTCAGCTATTCCGACAGGATTTGAGAATGTTAACTGCTCAGCAACATTATGGATATAAGTTCATCACATTATCTAAGGAAAGGTGGGTTGCAGTTGGTGAAAAAACATCTGGCGGTACGTTCGAAATTGGTGACATTTTTGCACGGAGTGAGGCTATGTTCTATGATAAGGTGTTTTCGCGCATTGCATGGGTTATCGCGTTCACGCCTATAGAGACGTTCTAACCGCTCAGTATTGTGAAAATAGATTCTATTTGACTAGTTTTAGGCTTCTGTAGCCGAAAAATGCAATATTTTTGTGTATTGTGTTCGTAGTAATGCGTAAAATTGTCATGACAGCCTAGACGAATTACTAATAAAAAAGTCATCATTTTGAAGAAATATCGCATAAAAAGTCCATTATTAGGGTTTTAGAGCATTTAGGCATTGTTTTTTGTGAGTTGTTTCAGATCTTAAGGTTGTAAATTGACTGCAGGCAATGGCTGTTGTCATCCCAGTTATTCTATGAGAATGGTGCATTTGAAAGAGAAATAGCCTAGAGACATAAGTTAGATGTGTGTTTTGAGGATGTCAGACACTTCTTTTATCATCTGTGATGGCTGAAATATTCCATAGCACATGGAAGAGATCATGCAATGAATGAGACAGGCTGGTGCATTTCCTGGTGATTATAACTACTTTGATGAAGTTCCCATTTAAAATTGCTTAGGCGAAGATATGAGACTACTTTGATTGACATTTGCACTTGGAATGTGAGAAGGCTTTAATTGTTCATTGTCAAAAATGGCATCAGATTATGTGTATATCAGTGTGCATGGGGTTACGAAGAATAGTGCAGATGGTCC